CGCCCTTTTTACGTTTGGCTATTTCGAGTAGTACACGACTTTCACCCAACTTAATACAACAGAAAAATTTGCACACCAGTCTGACCGGTGATAAGGGACATATGGAGTGAGCGAATTTTGACTATATCACCAAAATATTGTGCCCTCGTTCAACGGAAGTACAACAAATACCGAAACCATTTAGATTGGGTTGCAAAATTTCAATTTTACGCGAGAAATTTCAGGAAAATTTCCAACTTTAGTGTCGACCACGGGCTCAAGCACATGCCCATTGTAGAGGGTGGCGCAGTTACCGAGTACCAACCAGACTCTTAAACCAGATCAATAAATCAATATTAAAATAATTTTCAGAGGCAATAAACAAAATTGTAACGAGAAATCACCGGCGCCGATCCTCTGCCCCGCTTTCTCAATATCTGCCCCTCACGGGTACCTGTCAAGAAATGAGTCGCGTATATTGAATACATAAAAGAAATGAGACAGGTGAAAATATGTGCAGTATTTCGGTTTAGTGTAACTGAAAACTCACAGCAACGGACGTAGCGACATTTTAAAGTTTACCACTTGCGAGTCAGTCGGCTAGGGTCTCCAAAACTTCGCCCAATCACCCTACATTTTCACCTCAACGAAACATGAGACAGACAGCATTCTTGCTCCTGCTACTCGGCATGGTGGCGGCGCTAGGCCACGTTGGCGACGACGACAACGCCGACGAAAACGGCACCACCGCCCCGACCTCGGTGTGGGTCACCACCACCGTCAACGGGGCGTTGGCCACCATCCAGGCCCAGTACACCCAGTCGTTCCAACCGGTGGCGTCGCTGGCGGCGGAAGTCCCCTCCGGCGGCATTGGCCTCGGCTCGCTTTCTGGCGAAGTGGGCAATGCCCGTACCTACGATTCGACGACAGTCACCGGTGGTGCTGCCGGTATCGCTGCATTGGGAGGGATATTCGTTGCGTTGGGAGGTCTTTTGCTTTAGAGGGTTTTACATCTGCTTTTCAGTTTTGGGATTTATATACAATTTGAGGATACAAATGGTCTTAGAAAAAACTTGTAGGTGAGGGAATTCTCAAAAGTATTAGTGGTACATTGCGATCGACTAATGAGGTTTAGGGACGTGGTTTGCAGTTGCGGAAGTCTCCAACCAGCCATGTGTTTACCTCATCCATGCGCCGATGCCTAAAATGGATGCTTTGTAAATGTCGATCGAAAGCGACTTGTTGGTAATTCGAATCGAGGACAAATACTCGTCACCCGAGTACGATGGTTAGCTAATGATATCAAATAGAGAATTAGAAACAATTGCTGGAAATTTAACATCTTCTTCGAACTGATTATTCGAAGCTGAGCAGCTCAAGGAAAGGAATTAATAGATTTGCCGATGATGTAGTTTGAGAACATGTCATCAAATAGCTTATCCTCAGAGCCTTGTCAATCGAAACATTTTAGGCTTGTTTAAAGTACTGGCTGATGATTTCAATCAAATTTACGAAAATTGCAAACATCATGTTAAGCGCTACAACGAGGTTACCGATGCATATCTATTTGCGTACTATCTATACACTCTATTGTAAAGCTTGCACCAAGTCTTCGATGAGATCTTCCACATTCTCAACCCCAACCGAGATTCTCAACAACTTAGTGGAGCAGGTAGCATCAGACAACGCCCTCCATTCGATCAAGGATTCCACCCCACCCAAGGAAGTGGCGTGAATGAAGTACTTCAACTTGAGGGGGAGTTCCTTAGCCGTTTGTTCATCAGGACACTCAATGGAGAATACCGGCGAGTGACCGTTGGGCATTTGCTTGGCGACAAACGGTTCCGTTTGCAACAGAGAGTGGTAGATTTTCGCCAACTTGGGAAGCTTATCGATGTCGTCATGGAGACGCTTGACGATGGCCGTGGCCAGCTTCCATTGGCGGTCGACTCTCATTTCGAAAGTGCGCAACGACCGGATCAAAAGCGACGCCTCGAGGTTGGCGATGTTGGTACCCAACAACAACCGGTCCTTCAACAACTTGTCCTTAGTTTCATCGTCCTTCACGAGCAACAACCCCGCGAGGAGATCGGAGTGACCGCCAAAGAACTTCGTCGCCGAGTGCATGACGATGTCAGCTCCCTGTTGGAAAGGATCTTGGATGGGAGGAGGAGCGAAAGTGGAGTCGACGACAACCTTGGCACCGTACTTGTGCGCCTTATCGGCGTACTTTTGGATGTCAATACATACCCCTTCAGGGTTGACGGGGGACTCGAGGTGGACGACATCGCCCAGCTTCACCACGCCTTCAAACTCGTCGTCCAAGCCGATCTGTTTGACGCCGTAGTTTCTCGTCAAAATGTCGGCAATACCGTGGCACCCGTGGTAGGCCTGGCCGATGGCGAGCGTCTTCGGGTTCAAGAGGCACATGGCGGCGTTAAACGCCGACAACCCGCTCAGGTACACGACACACTTGTAGCCGGTGATCTGCTCGACGATCGCTTCGACCTGTTCCGAGTTGGGGTGCGATTCTCTCGAGTAGACCGGGTTGTTGAGGATGGGGGGGTCGTCGGCGGCCTTCATCCACGTCGACGGGTCCTTCGAGTACTTGAACGTCGTGGCCACGTTGATGGGGGGCACCACGTCGGGCACTCTGCTCAAGTCGTCGGCGCCATGGACGCCTCTGGTGGAAAGTCCAGTCATTTGATGGAGAGAAAGACGTGGATGACAAACGGTTTAAATATTGCGCTCGAGTCATCCGGCCAGGATGTGCAGCAACGATGCGTTATGGCGTTTAATCACCGCCATTCGCCTGGTCAAAACTCACCTACTCTTCGTCAGTAGTAGTGTTTAAGAGTCTTTGTTCTCAGGGAGACATTTTTCTGAAATCTTTTGTGCATTTCTGTGTAAGATTCTAAGAAATATTTCGGTGCTGTGTACTGCGAGTGGAAATTTCGTGGCAAGGCGCGCGGATCAGTATTGCTGTTACACAAATAGAACACATCCGCGGTAATAAAATGCCTTTCCGGAAGTCTGCACGACGAGTCAAACTTTTTAAGCAAAGCCTCTATCGATGTATGTTGCCACCAATCGATCCTCATCGAATAAATCACATTGCGCGGCAAGGTAGGCCCAATTGCGCGTCGTAATACACGAAATTGCGCTTTGAAAAATCAAAACGCGCAATTTTCTACCTCGAATTATAATGACAATATCATCCACAAAATAGACGTTTACCCATTGTAGCTGATAGCTATACTTAACGGCCCGCCTCACCCTTTCACTCACTCAAAATATAGCCCACAGCGATGCTGAGGCGTCAACGGAGGTGGAACCATGCCTATCAAGCGCAAGTTATCGTACAGCAGCTATTCCATGATGATATGTAAATAGAAAGCGCAAGATGTGATATCAACAATTATCGCAACGGCGCCTCGCCTCTCCTATTCTGGTTAACGTAGATATACAATTAGATCATTAAATCATAAGCCTATTAATAAGTGTTACCCTTGGAAGATTTCCTCGCCGCCTTCGTCCAAGTAGTTGCCGGGGACAAGCCCCACCCGCCCCGCGTGGCCGGGCCCGCACGCCGCCAGCAACTCGGCCCAGTACCAGTCGTCCTCCTGGCGCTGGATGATGTACATCGTCCACCCCTTGCGGAAGAACATCTCCAGCTTCTGGTTCAAGTCGTGCGGGTCGGGGTTGGGGTTGGGGTGGAAGGTGTATTTGGCGCGGGCCTTGCCGACGATGGGCTGCTTCAGCACCGGGGTATGCGTCGGGATCCGCGCCGCCGGCATCAGGTGTCGTTTGTTGGCATGGGGCCTCAGCGCCGCCTCGGCGGCGGCCTCGGCAAAGTCGCGGGACGGGTAGGGCATGCTCTGGCGGCGCCGGTCGCCGGGGTTGGTCTTGGTCCGCGTCGCCGGCTCCATCTCCACCATCTCCGCCGCCGCCACCAGCCGGAGGTCGGTGTACAGCTTCAGCGGCAGCTTGATCATCCGCTTCAGCTTGCGGGGGTCAAACGTCTCCGGCTGACTGGGCTCGGTGTGGATGGTGGGGGCATACGCCAGCTTGGGGCGGCCGAAGGTGAGCGACTCGTAGCGCACCGCCACCTCGTCCAGGTCATCGATGTAGTCCAGCGTGGGGCGGCGGTGGGAGGCGGCGGCGGCGCCCTGGCTGCGGCGGAACTCCTCCTCCTGAGCCTGCTGGCGGCGCACGCTCTTACGGTACCGCAGCACGTCGCCGGTGCCGCCCAGGTTCAAGTCGTCAAGCGCCTTCAGCAAGAAGTCGACGCTGAAGTCCTTCATGATATTCACTTTAGGTTGGGGGTCTAACGTGGGATGGGGCGCTACCACCGGTTTCAGCTGGCGATTAATCTGTTCCTGGACCTGCTTCAACTGCTGCTCGCCTTTACGCGCCAGGTTCCACAGCCGTTTCGACGTCAGCGAGTAGTTGGACAGCGTGTAGTTTGTCGGCTCCGAGTACTTGCTCAGCCCCTGGGACTGGCGGAGCTCGGGCTCAGAGAACACTTCATTTTCGTCACGTTCGGAGTCGTCAAAGTCCTGAGGCGGTTTGCGTTTAACCTGGGCTCGCTGGGGCAGGACGTCGTTCAGCGCGACGCTGGTCGCCTGGTACTTCAGCGCCGCCTCGACGGCAGCGGCGCCGGGGTGGACGTGGGACGCCGACTGGGGCGCGAGCAACGGCTTCAGCAAGATGGGGTTGTATTGGGGGTCCTTATACTCGACTTTCTCCGTGTGCACTTCGAAGTCGCCGGCCTCGCCGTTGAGGTAGTCGACGAACTTGGCGTGCTCTAAAGTGCTGTTGCCGGTGCCGTAGGCCTTGGTAAACTCCAGTAAATCGGTAGCGGGGTTGATTTGAGCGAAGGAGGTCCGCGCCACGTCGACAGTGGCGTCCTGGTCGACACAGTAGGTGGCAATAACGTTGCACCAGTTGAAGCAGTTCACTTTGAGCAACTGGATCCGCTCCAACTCCAACTTGTACAAGTCCAGCAACGCCACCGCCCAGTCCTTCTTGTAGATGTCCTGGAGCTCGTTATAGGTGGTGATGGCCATCTGGTACAGCTTGCGCAGGTGCTGGGCCAGCTGCTGGGCCTTCACCTGTTTCACCTGATACTTCTCCAACTCCTTCCCCCACGTGGTTTGCACTTGAAGCCGGAGCCCCTTGAGCATGCCACAGTCGTCTCGGTACCGCGTCTGTTCCTGCTCCAAATGGTGCTCGGCCAGGCTGAGCTTGTGCAAGAGCTTAGTCATATGGTTCAAAATCTTCAGCGTCTTCTTATCGTAGAGGTGGGCGAACTCCTTCAACTGGCGGCAGTTATCCTCCATCAGCTTAAGCTGTTTGCGGCAGTTGTCGACGCCGTGGTGGTTCTCCACCATCAACAGGTCCATCAGCACTTTTAGCAGTCCCGTCTCGTTGCGGCCGATGTGGATCCGCCCGAGTTTATCGAGGCGGCGGATGTATTCGGCCTCGACGGCGATGCGCTCAGTGTAGTACTTGATGACCTCGTCGACGGTGTTGTGACCGTGTTTGATGCGGTGGTGGATGACGTCGAAGGCGTCGTCGCGGCTGGTGCCCCAGAAGTTCAGGACAAACATGGCGATGGCGACGGGGATATGGGGTCATGGGCAGGCGACCGGGTATTTCTAGTGCGAGTGGCATTTGTTTTGGTATTCCCCGATCGGGACGACGTCGTTTACGCGCCAGTGCATCTCTGGTTGTGAGCCTTGGGTGGCGACATAACTAGCTATAAACAACTGTTCGAAATCATAAATATTCAGATTGACCACTACCACAACCAGATGTTTCAGCAGGATTAAATTATTACAGCAGCCATATTGCGAGCGTTTTCAACTTCCCGTCCATTTCATACAACCTCCATAGAAGGTATTTAAGCTTATCGTATGACTCCAATGGTGACACTTTAGACTCATAGCAAACGAGATATATGTTAGCCATATACGGCTCTGTTGTACGAACCTTTAATATTCAAGAGGCTCAAGGTATGATCGTAACAGAAATTTAACTCAATGAACTTGCCCTGATACTTAGCTAGTGTGACCGTATTGGACTCCCACTGCTAATGAAATTGACCATCAGTCATCGTTGATCGTATAATCATACTCATGAAACTCTAGTGTACTTGCTGGCACTACAAGATTTTGATACAAGAAATCACTGTGTCATTAGCTATTGAATCTGGGACTTAAAGCGCTTCCACAGGGGGAAGCCCTCGATGAAGTTCATCACCGCCCACTGGATCTTGGGCCACAACGGCACCCGGTACTTCTTGCACATCGGCAACATCACGAAGATCACCTCGAGAAGGTGGATGGCGTACATCGCGGGGATGATCTTGTACCCGTGCTCCTTCAACCACCCGACAGCAGGCATCAACAGCGCCGGCAACTTATTGATGATCTCACCGGCAATGGGGTCCAAGTACCGGTGGAACAGCTTGGCGTCGAGCTTGTTCCACACCGAGAGGGCAAACACCACGTACATCAACACCTGGTCGGGCTGGTTGGGGCCCACAGCGGTGGTCACTCGCTGGTGGGAGAACCCGCGCTTGTGGGCGGCGTACTTCGCCATCAGCACCAACTTGCCCTTGACGTGGGCCAATTCCGTCACCTCGATATTTTCGCCCTCGTCGGCGTCCTTCCACTTGATGACCGCGGTTCTGGCGACGCCGTTGACGCGGTAGCTGATGACGACGGCCTCGGTGTCGATGTCGGCGAGCTTGGCGCTGTTGGGGTCGGGGACGGCGCCGACGTAGGCGACGACGTAGTCCTCGATCAGCAAGCCGTGGCCCTTGTTCATGTGGGAGATGATGCGTCTTTGGTGTTCGGGAGTCGACATTTGTGTGGTGGGTGGTGGTTGGTGGCGACAGGGGAGGAAATATCGCCAGCGGTTGCTCAGGGTTATATTTGCTGCGCCATGGCATGTGCTAATAGCAGGCAGAGGCGACGCCACCGGGGAGGTGGGGGAGGGGTAAAAGTGGCAATCTAGTGCTAAACGAGGTATCTACAACGACTAGAAAATTTAATTGAGGGGGGTTGTCTACCTAAATTTGTCTAATTGGGCGACAATTGCTTCGCAATGGGGTCAGGGGTGGTGGGTGGCTTCAGGGGCGTGAGCTCTATCGAGGAGAAAAAACTTAGGGGGGACCCGAGAATGCCGATGACCACTGCGAAATACGGGGCCAGTGCAACTGTCCGTGGCTCCAATCGAGGGGTGATAACGACTACTCAAATGGGGATGAGGGATTGAGGGCATAATTGAGCCGAGGGCTACGCTGGTGGCGGGGGTAACCTACTCAAACGGTGGTCGCGCCAACTCCGAAGGTCGCATTTGTGGGGAACACGGATAGGCTACGGTTTAGGAAAGAGGCCGACAGGGCGTGAGACTGCGGGGACATGCCAAAAGCAGTAGGCCTCGCGCTCGGAACGGCTTGTCACCCGGTCCGCTTCTAGCCCCACCCAGATACAGACCCCTGTCACCTCTGCACGGAATTGAGGGTGGGTGCAACTATTTTGTTTAGTAGTGGCCAGTACGAACGCCCTCCATTAAGGACTAGCCTCAGTTTTAAATTGATTAGACTTACACTCGTAAGGTAAGTGATTTCAATAATTGAAGTCCAACATTCGTACAATATAGCACGACATTATCTACTGATACCCCCAGGTCGAACGATGGTCGACCACTACGTGTGTTCCAAATTGGGGTTTTCAAAACATCCTCATATCGAGTGGACATCATCCATATTCGGATTGTATTGAGGATATGAACAACCAAGAGATTAATTGTTGCAACCATTCAGTCTCATACAAAGAGTTTACTATCATGATTGACAGTTTAAGGACAATGGGCAATGTCTGAAGCTAGCTTTTAGCTTGATATCTTATAAAATCAAGACGACATCCTAATTATCCCCATCCCCACTGAAGTTATGTCAAAAGACGATATGTTGAAGATTGAATATTTTTTTGTTTACGTTGACCAAATGCTATTTTATCGTTCTCATCGGTGTTTCTGTGTTGAAAGGCTTTTGCTGGCAACTAATTGGAACTCAATTCCCGTCAACCGCTCAACCAAAGACTCGAACTCCTTCGGAAAGTCAACAACAGTTGGAGATAATTGAACCAGAGATAAATGAACCTCCGCCTGAGATAATTGAACTACCACTAGAGATACTTGCAAGAGTGCTTGACTTCCTCCCTCAGCATCATGTTTACCCTTTTTTGTCTTTATCAAAAGGAGTCAATCACATTGCGAGGTACAGACTATTTCGCCAAGTGTATGTACTCGAGTACCATAATCCCATATTACACGATGTCATCGAGGATCTACTATGTTGGCTGGTCCTTACAAGAAGACAATTTCATATTCTCCTCAGTTCAGAGTTTCCATGGCCTGGAAAATTACTTATTATTGAAACGAGTTGGCGGCACCATGAACCTGTAAGTGCTATAAGGGCACGATTTGCACCAGCCGACGTACGCTTCACCAAACGTATACTTGGTGCTGATAGCATTCCATACGAGGATCAAATTGTCGTACTGCCACCCACTTCAACGACTGCCGCTGATGTTCGATTATCGCGACTTACTTTAGTAGGACCCTCACTATGCGATCCATTAGCGGTAACTGTCAAAGTTGATTGCCTACTTGTTGTGGGCGAAGTCTTTGCTATTGAAAGGTGTATTGATATTCCATCAATAAAGCAATTGACACTCATTTCGGCATTCAGCAATTTAGGAGACGACATTTACGGGTTGGCGTCGCAACTTAGTTCCTTAAAAGACTTGTTTGTGGCAGAGAGTCCGCTTACGCCAGATATGCTTTCGGAGTTTCCTACAAACATCAGACGATTAGTATTGTCAAACACAACACGAACCGCTCCGGTTGACTGCTGTTCACGTTTTCGGCTGCTGCTTGAGTATCTTGAATTAGGAGAAAGAGTCTACTTTGAGAACTGGCCACGGGTAATACGGCGAAGATCCAGCGCAAGTTCCGCAGGCTTGTTACCACTCAGTGCCTGGTTTCGTAAGGAGGATTTTCCGAGGCTTCTGATATGTGTGTACGACCACGAGGCCTACACGTTTAAGCGAGTCCGGGGTGAATGGCAAGCGATTAGATTCGAGCGAAGTCAACCAAGGAATAGTCTCTTGACCTGATCAGCCATGCAATCACGCATGGTTTTATATTTGACGGCCATTGCGTTACTAGTTTGGACACTATTGTGGTTTGTCTGGATTACCAAAACTATTTCAAACTACTTTCTCGAATACGTACGGAACCCTTTCTCGATTATCTTCGGTTTTCCAAATTTAGCTGGGCATAGATTAATCCGTTACAGATGGTATCTCTTCACCGCATTTATGCCCTGAGTATTAAACTACACAATTGTCCTAATGTAATTAATCACCATCACGTCAAAACCTTAGAACAAAGCGTATTCTTTTCACCTTGACGCACTCCACCATTTCTCTAGCGGCCTTTTTTTTTTTTTTTTTTTGATGATAGGTAACGGATGCACCATCGGGGGTTCTCGGAACTACCAAAGGGAGATTGCCAGAAGTGATGCAAAAAGTCCCCAAGCAACCAAATCACTCAAAAATTGACAATTACAAACCTTAGCCAAGCTGAATCAGTTGATACTACCATTAACAGATAGTCATGGGGGCGATGGGGGACTGATGTCTGAAGTCGTCCTTTGGCTTAGGGGGCACCTGCATATAGTCTAACAAAAACGTGCGATGGTCTTCGCGGTCAAATCTGGAGTACGCCCTCATCGATCCCTCTCGCCCGTGTCCCCCAGATGTCGACTAATTCGATCAAGTTGTTGGCCAGCGACGTCCACCGCGGGCTTGCCGAGCTCGTCGCCCAGCGGCTCGGGATGCCCCTCACGCCGTGCGAGTTCAAGCGCGACCTGACCGGCGAGATCCAGTTCTCGATCGACGAGCTGGTCCGCGACGAGGACTGCTTCATCATCTGCCAGATCGGCCTGGGCGTCGTCAACGACCGCGTGTTGGAGTTGTTGATCATGATCAACGCCTGCAAGACCGCCTCCGCCCGCCGCATCACCGTGATTTTGCCCAATTTCCCTTACGCCCGCCAGGACAGAAAGGACAAGCTGCGGGCGCCGATCACCGCCAAGTTGATGGCCGACATGTTGACCACCGCCGGGTGCAACCACGTGATCACCATGGACTTGCACGCGCTGCAGATCCAAGGGTTCTTTGACGTCCCCGTCGACAACTTGTACGCCGAGCCCCTGGTGGTGCGCTACATCAAGGAGAAGGTCAACTACAACGAGGCGATCATCATCTCCCCCGACGCCGGTGGTGCCAAGCGCGCGGCGGGGCTTGCCGATCGGTTAGACCTCAATTTTGCTCTTATCCACAAGGAAAGAGCCGTCGCCAACCAGGTGCTGAGAATGGTGTTGGTCGGTGACGTCACCGACAAGATCTGCATCATTGTCGACGACATGGCCGACACCTGTGGCACTTTGGCCAAAGCGGCCCAGGTGCTTTTAGACAACGGCGCCAAGCTGGTGATTGCCATCGTCACCCACGGGATCTTATCGGGCAACGCCGTCGCCAACATCAACAATCTGAACTTGGACAAAGTGGTGTGCACCAACACCGTCCCGTTTGAGGACAAGTTGAAGCTCTGCCCCAAGTTGGACACCATCGACGTATCGGCGGTGTTGGCCGAAGCGGTGAGACGGTTGCACAACGGGGAATCGATCCTGTACTTGTTCAAGAACGCTCCTTTGTAGACGATTATCACGATATCATATAGGTGGAGTCGTAGCCCCACGCATTACACATTCAGAAAGGATAGGAGTAGACGTGTTGTCCGTTTAGGGTTTCAGCTGCCAGTGTGACCTTAAACAGAGGGAATACAATGTTAGCCGGCACTCTATAGCACGTATCTTTTCTGAATGATGAACCATAGATCAAAGTCTAAGTCAAGGGGGGCAACTTTAGTCGGCACATATCCTTTCAAGGTTCACCAGATAGCGAGCGATGAAATCGTCAACCTCATGGGCCATTGATGTGGAGATTCTTTTTCCCATTCTCTCCATGGCTAGGTCGATAGTGTCTCGGTAATCACCACCTCCATAGATCAGTAACTTCGTGGCTCTGATCATAGCCCGCCCAATTGTATCAAGCACCCGAACCTGAAGTACGTAAAGCTGCTCTAAAGCTATGGTTTTACACTGAGTTTGTGCCCGGTGGTGGCATTTGGCTATGTCGTCTTGGGGAAGGTGTAGCTTATTCAAAGCGGCAGTATAGTCATATTTGTAGGCCCGAGTTTCCTGCACGAGGTGTTCGCCAAATAAGAAAAGGTTCACTCTGAGAATACGGTTAAACTGGAAGGCAAACCTGTCAATGTTGTCTGTAATACAATGATGGAGGCGGCACTGGACGCCGCGGAGGCTTTCTTCCAACTTGAGTTTGGCGGAAACACGAAACTCAGGGGCTAAGTAGTGTTGGCAGCAGATATATTGGTAATTGTCCACTTGGTGAACGTATCTCCATAGTTTATCGAGGAGTCTGTTGATCAATTGAGCTTGTTCAGTGAGACTTGTACCAATTACCCTGAACCCAGATTTGATAAAACTGGGATTTAGGATGCTATCAAATAGTGTCGAATGGTGGAAAATGGGCAATGAACGAGTACTACCGTCCATTGAATCCATGGGAGGCCTCGATTGAATGGTGACTACATTAGTCTATCTTATATCTCCCATGATCGACTGTCGTTAAAGCTTAATGTTTAACTTTAGGAGAGTCCCCGGTCCCAAGGGTCCGGGGTGCCGACTGTCTGTCTTTGTCTACCAATTGCAACACCACCTGACGACCATCGATTAAGACTATAACTATGAAGCAATGCTATTTTGAGAAACACCCATGTCTACTCAGATTTGTAGATACTGCAGCTAAACAACTTATAAAAGATGTCAAAGATCCACAATACTCACTCCTTCCTTAATCGCTGATTGATGTCCAAGACGTGTCTCTACTTAAGGTATTCATCGCGGTGCGGCACCAACACGTCCCCACCCCTCTTATTAATATCCCCAAAATGGCTCCGTACAAGGCGTGTCTCTTTGACATGGACGGCACCATCATCAACACCGAGGACCTCTACACGGTGGCGGCGCTGAAACTCCTCGCCCGCTACGGCAAGGGCCCGCTTCTGTGGGACGTCAAGATCCACCTCCAAGGGCGCCCTGGCCCCGAAGCGGCTCGGCTCTTGATGGACAGCTACGACATCAACGACATTAGTGTTGAGCAGTGGCAGGCCCAGGCGTTTGAGATCCAGGAAGACCTCTGGCGCCAGGCCCAGTGGCTCCCCGGAGCGCTAGAATTACTCCAATGGCTTAGCGCCAATAATATCCCGATTGCCTTGGGCACGTCGTCCAACACGAAAGCGTTTAGAAAGAAAACCGGCCACTTACTGGAAGGATTCGACTTGTTTGGCAAACACATCGTCTGTGGCGATGATGCTCGGATCCCTAAAGGTAAGGGGAAACCTAATCCCGATATCTGGTACGCGTGTCTTGATCTGATTAACCAGGAGCGTAAACAGGCGGGGCTTGAGCCAATTGCCATTGAGGAGTGTATTGTGTTTGAGGACGGGCTTCCCGGGGTGATTTCCGGTAAGAATGCTAACGCCCATGTGGTGTGGATTCCTCACCCAGAAGCGAGACCGTACTTGGGTGGCGACGCCGCCGAAGCGGAAGTGGTGGGCACTAATGGGACCGTGCTTGACTCGATCAAAGACTTTGATAAGACTCTAGTGGTGGACAACAACTGAATGCCCTCAACACGGTATTAACTATACCAGAACACTTTTCTTAGAATCATAATAAAGACACTAGGCGTTTATAGCCAAAGAACAAGTCTTAACGTAAAGCCTTTAATGTGGTAGAGATCACGATCACTTACACTACTCATTCACTCAATCATAAGTATGCTCATTGAATTTGCTTAGTCTCCGTGATTACAGGAAGATAAACCATAATAGAGCAAACTACAACCATAACAACATCAATGGGAAAGCACACCATCTCGATAGCCGTGTATTGAGCTCGTCGATGTTTGTTATTGTTTGGTATTGGATCTCATGGCTGTCGCTGGGGGGTGCGGTGGCTTATCTGCAGTACGTCACCGTGACGATCCGACGGCTATGGCCACCGGCGGCGTCTACACCATCGTCATTGACACCACCTCCGCAGACTTCCGCCGCGGCAAGCTTTCCATCGAATCCGTATCCATGAACGAGCCGGTGCAGGCCCTGGTCCTTGGCGAGCGCACCGTGCGCCTATTCCGCCACCACGACGCCGCCACCGACCGCTGGGCCACCGCCGCCGTGGCGCTGACGGCCGCCATCGTCGCCGTGCCCAACTATATGACCCCCGACGATCTCTGTCGGTTTGTCGGTACCCAGTACCTCAAGCAGGTGAGCCATCTCCGCATCTTACGCCTGAGCAAAACCAGTCGGTTTATGGCGCTCCTCAAGTTTAACGACGAAGCGCAGTGCCACAAGTTTGTCGAGTGCTTTGACGGCAAACAGTTCAACTCGATCGAGCCCGAGTTGTGCCACGTGGTCGCCGTGGCCCAGGTAGAGGTGGAGCTGGCGCTAAGCCGCCACCCGCAAATCGCGCCGATCATCGCTGCTGACGACGCCGCCGACGAACTAGGCGAGCTCCGAGAGCTCCCGCTGTGTCCCGTGTGCCTTGAGCGCCTCGACACGGCGATCCTGGGCCTCGTCACCATCCCCTGTTCGCACACCTTCCACTGCCACTGCCTCACCAAGTGGCGCGACGACACCTGTCCCGTATGCCGTTACCTGGCCCACCCGGCTAATCGGGAGGTGAGACACACCCTCGCTGGTCCCCAGGAAGGGCTGCTGCTGCGTGCCACTGCGTCGTCGGTAGACAACTCGTCGCCCGAGCACTGCGACGACTGCGACGTCACCCTGGACCTCTGGGTGTGTCTTGTGTGTGGCAAGGTCGGGTGCCTGCGCTACGCCCCCCACCGCCACTCGCTCGAGCACTTTGTGCTGACGGGCCACTGCTTCGCCATGGAGCTCACCACGCTGCGGGTGTGGGACTATGCCAGCGACCGCTACGTCCACCGGTTGGTGACGAACGACGCCGACGGTAAGCTTGTCGAGCTTCCCGATAAGGACATGACCGGCGCCGGTGCCACCAAGCTGGCGGAGGAGAAGGCCGACGCCGTCACCTACGAGTACGACCAGTTGCTCATCAGCCAGCTCCAGCTGCAGCGCGAGCACTACGAGCGGCTCCTCAGCCGCCAGCAGCTGGGGGCGGTGCCGTCACAGCAGCTCCGGGAGCGGTTAGCGGCGAAGGACCGCCGCCTCCAGGAGCTCGCCGCGCTCAACGACGGGTTGCTGAAGAAAGTCGAGTTCTTGGAGCAGCAGCAACAGGAGCTCGTGCGCCAGAACCAGGAGCTCGCCCACCAGAGCCAGGAACTTGCCGACCAGGTCAAGGACCTCATGTTCTTCCTCGACACCCAGGCAAAGTGCAAGGACGACCCCGAGATGCAGCAGGGGACGGTGGTGATGACTCCGGCGCCGACGCCGCGGCGGCTGAAGAAGAAACGCAAGTAGCCCGATCGCTCGATTGGCCGATTGCGATGTGGTTGCTGCCTGATGCCGATCTATTTGCGGCTCATTTTCCTGCCGATTTGTCGATGCTATCGGTGCGCTGTCGGGGCAGTGTCGGCGGGAAAGTCGAGTGTCGAGCACCCGGTGCAGTGGTTGCCTCATGACAACGACAGGCGCCACCACTTGCAGGCCTCGCCAAAAAAGCTTATTAAGGGCCCGCTGCCGCCGCTAGTGGATTCCTGTTTCCCCTAAATGAGCCACCACCCGAGCTTGCCCAGTTTCCTGGCGTTGGTGGCGCTGTTCAGCGGGCCGAACCCGCTGGTGGAGGCGCCGGCGCCGTCGCTGGCGGAGTTGTCGTGGCTGACGCCGCTGGAGCTGGCGTCGGCGGCCCAGTTGGCGTCGGCGGCGGCGACGGCACCCCCCACCGCCTACGGTCCCTGGGGCACCGAGTTGGCATACTCCACCAATCCCCCGTTGGCGCCGCCGTTAGCGCCGCCGTTGGCGCTGGGAGTGCCCGGGGTGCCGATGTTACTGGTGTACGGGTCGCCGTGGATGCTGCTGGCGCTGGCGGCGACGCTGTCGCTGGTGTTGCTGACGCCGCCGCACCCGCCACTTAAACCGTCCCCCGAAGCCCACGACCTGATCTATACGTTGCGGGACATGGTGCTGAAGCTGAAGCAGTTCTGCGACTTGTGGCTCCGCAAGTTCCACAACATCCTCCAGGACCTGATCGAGAGGCACGGCGACAACGACACCGCCATCGCCGAGGCGATGGGCTACTTCTACCAGCTGTTCACCGTCGAGGACATCGACGACGGCGTCGCGCTGTTGGGGGTGCTCCAGCAGGCGTTGATGGCGTTCAAGATCAACTGCGTCGTCCCCAACCAGCGCCTCGACGATACCAGCGACGACAGCGACGGCCCCCGCCGGGCGCTGGCGCCGCGCCGGCCGCGCACCTACATGGAGTGCCAGCACTGTGGGTCTAGAGACACCCCCGAGTGGCGCCGGGGCCCCGACGGGCCGCGCCTGGTGTGCAACGCGTGCGGGCTCTTCTACCTGAAGTTGATCCGCAAGTACGGGCGGCAAGAGGCGACGCTGATGATGCGCACGCGTAAACTTAACGGCCAGGACCATGACCGCCGGGTGTCCTAGCTTGATGTCTCTGTGACCCTGGTATAGGTTTTTAATTGATGACGTAATGATTGTATGCAGTGCGAATTTGCCAGTTAGATTATGTGCAGGACATATCCCCACTGGTTCCCCCCCCCTTAATCAATAACCCACAATAGCAACCACGTCCAAAACATGTTCTATCAACTTATTCTAGCATTATCGGTGATTGCCGTTGCCGGTGCTGACGGCTGTGCCCAGCTCATTGCCAAGTACCGGGCTACCCCCGTTGCCTACCCGTTCCCGTACCACCACGGCCCCCACCAAGGGGAGATCCGCTACGAGCTGGGCCCCAAATTTGCCAGTGTCTACGAGCTTGTACGTTTCGAATTGGGCGGCAAATATGCCGTGGAAGACGGCAAAGTGGTGCTTACTAACGGCAACAGTGCTCCCTTAGTGCTTTCGCCAGCTGCGGCTGAGGACCAGTGGGGCCCCCCAGAAGGGTGGCAGCAGCGGTTTGCCTCGCAGGATAGCGACGCCAATGACGACGGATTTGACTGGGACGACGACGGCATCGACGACGAGTTGGTGGACGATTTCCTCCGCTCGTACTGCTCAGTCACCCACGAGCAGTAAAGGCTCGACAATTCCGACACCGAGTGCCCCGCCGCGGCCGCCAAGTCCGACTCCGACAACTCCGTCAGCCAGTCTTTTTGGGTAATTAAGCTTTAAGGTTGGGAGGCAGGGTGGCGGTCCCGTAGGGAGGAGCATGGATGGTGTCTGCGGTAGTGTAATACTTTTTACGACTGTGATGAATAAATGGTTTACGAGAAGCTAAGTTTGGTTTTTAAAAAATGCAACGAGTCAGTGGGTTCAGGGCATTTGGCAGGGCAATTGGCGGTGCCACCGGTGACGACAATGGGGTGGGTGTACCCCGCAAAGCTTAAATCAAGACAGACACGTAGGCGCAAGACAGAGACGTAGGCGCGGGAGGGAAAGTCTTGGACGGAGTGTCGGAAGGCGGAGCCAGACGCCGACTCCAAGAAATCCTGATCAGTTCCAGAGGGGTCACGCTACACCAATTTCTATGTGAGCCGAGCGTGGCGCTACAGATTTGCTCTATATCTTCAGTGGGCTGATTTACTCTATAGGAGATGGCAATTGATAGTAGGTGGTGATCTTGCACACGTAGCGAAGCCGACGTCATCGATCACATCGCGAATTCCATACTAGAGGTGACCCTGGCGACTAGTGGCTGCTACTCCATCAATTTATAAAGATGGCTACCATTAATATATGCTCCCATTTCATCCCTTTAACAAGCACATACGTCATGGTAACCTGAGTTAATAGGAAAGTGGAGGTGCGAAGGAAGGTAAGCTACAACCGCAAAAACTTCTTGTTTGGAACGTTGCTACACCATGTACACAGGTCATATTTCACTTGACTTTCCCAGACGTCATTACAGCCTCTATCTTACCTACCCCATCAGATCACTCAAACTTCTTTCTTTAAAAACCACCCCGTCTCTATGAACAATAATTTGCCAATTTAATATCAAAATAATTTTCAATAACTAGTTTATACTCAACAAAACCGTTCCGTTAATAATTTCAAGAGTCTCATAATTTATCATAGTTTTTCGTGGGGATTTTCTTTTGGTGTCTTGCTTGTTCGCCGTCCCCGGGGCATCGCGCGAGGGCATCTCATCGCGCGCATTTCGCCCTGCTCCCGCCTATCCATCACTGACACCATGGGCGACTCGCAGCTAAATAGCAACGAGGTGGCGTTCCCCAGAGGTGGGGCGTCGGCCTTGACCCCGTTGGAGGTGAAGGAGATCCACCACCGGGCGGCCCGCGACGTGTTGTTCGAAGCCGCCGACCAGAACAAGCGGAAAAAGCTGGCCAAGCCCACGCAGCGAAAGAAGGCGAAACGGGCGCCCACCAGCGACGCCACCGCCGAAGAAGATGAAGAAACCATCATCGAACACTTGCTGCTCAAGCTGTTACCCAAGGGGACGCCGTTATTGGGGCAAATCGTCCACGTGGGCAAGCACGAGATGGCGGTGGCCGTCACCGATAACGTCATGGGTTACGTGTCCATCGCTCACGTGTCCCCGGAAGTCACCGCCCAGATCGAGGCCTACGAGGACGCCGAGGCCCTGGATGACGACGACGACGACGACGAAGACGGCGCTACCATCGCCAACACCGTCAACCCCGCCCCCGAGCTCACCAAGTTGTTTAAGGTGGGCCAGTGGGTGCGGACCGTGGTCTCTTCCAATGAAGTCGACGACAAGCTGGGTAAGCGTAGGCTCCAGCTTTCGGTGGAGCCGCAGGAGGCGAACCAGGGGATGGACGCCGACGACATGGTGGTGAATAACCTCGTGCAAGTGTCGGTGGCGCTGATTGAAGACCACGGGGCCATCGTCACTACTGGCATTAACAAAGTCCACGGGTTTATCCCCCACAAACACCTTGATTTCACCCCGCAAGTGGGGCAAGTGTTGTTGGCGCAAATCGAGCTGGTGAAGAACCGCGCCGTCACCCTCAAGCGGGCGCAGCCGATGAACAAGAAGCTGGCGGTGACCACGATCTCTCAGATTGACGCTGTCAGACCGGGGATGGTCGTGAGTGCCCTCGTGGCCCTGGTGCTGCTGGGGCTCGCCTGTCGTTTGTTCGGGATGATGGACGGGTCGGTGGCCCTCTCCCAGCTCCACATCTTTGACGACGCCACGTTAACCCACAACTACGCCGTCGGCCAGCCCGTCACTGCTCGGGTAGTGGGGGTAGTCGAGAGAGAAGGCGTCAAGCGGGCGTTGTTGTCCGTGCTTGACCTGGTGGCCAACTTGGACGCCACTGTCGCCAAGCAGGCGGCGTTAGAGGCATGGCCCCAGGGGTCCCGCTTTGAAGCGGCCACCGTCGTCGGCGCCGACGCCGACTTCATCTACGTCAAACTCAGCGCCGACTTCTACGGGCAGGTGCACAAGCTGGCGGTGGACCCGCTGGCCGCGCTGGACATCGCCCTGGTGTACCTTGTCGGGAGCACCCACCGCGCCCGCGTCACCGGCTACAACGACATCGACCAGTTGTTCACGTTGACGATGGACCCGCTGAAGATCGACTGCCAGTACATGTCGGTGGGCGACATCCCCCTCGGCGCCACCGTCCCCGTCGAGATTGTCGACGTTGAGGGCGAAGGGAAAGGTATCAAAGTGAAGCTTGTCTCCGGTGGGTTTGACGGGTACGTCGCTCCCGCCCAAGTGAGTGACGTCAAGTTGGTGTACCCTGAGCGTAAGTTCCGTCCTGGCCTGAAACAGGTGGCTAGAGTCGTCGGGAAGCGTGGCGGCTCGGTGTACCTCACCCTCAAGAAGCTGTTGTTGGCGATGGACGAAGACGATATCATTTCCAACGTAGATAACGTCGTTGTCGGCCAGAAGCTGTTGGCCACCGTCGAGCGGTTTGTCCCCAACGGGGCGATCGTCGCTTTCTTCGGCAACGTCAAGGCCTACTTGCCCAAACACGAGATCCTGGAACTGTTTGTCGACAACGCCAGCGACGTGTTGCGCGTGGGGCAGCTGATCCCCGTGACCATTCTCTCGAAACAGACCGTCGACGAACAGGTGAGAATCACCGTCACCCGCCGCCAGCTGGCCGAGCTCGGCGAGCAACAGCGCCAGGCGATGGCCACCATCGTCCCCGGCCACTTCCGGTCTCAGGCGACGGTGGTCGAGCGCACTAAGGACGCCGTCGTCGTCGAGCTTGCCGACCTGGGTCTCCACGGGACCATCCCCAACGGGCTTCTTTCCGACGGCAACTACGAGCAGAACCAAGCCTTGGCCAAGCTGATGGCCACGGGATCCACCGTCGAAGTGTTGGTGGTGGAAAAGGACCCCCGCTTCCGTTCTGTTACCTGTACCACCAAGCCGCTGATGCTTTCCGGCGTCGTCCCCTCGTCGTTTGACGAGGTCGAACAGCACGTCGGCGACACCCTCAGCGGGTACGTGAAGCTGGTGACGCTGATGGGGTTGTTTGTCGCCTTCGCCAACCGCTGCGTCGGGCTTGTGCTTGCCCGCCACGCCGCCGGCGCCAACGAGGACTTGGCCAAGGCCTACTCGAAGTACCAGCTGGTGCTGTGCCGCGTGTTCAACACCGACGTCGACAACCAGCGGTTTTTGCTCACTTTAGGTGGCCTGGGCACCGCTGAACTTTTGGTAAACCCCGTGGACAAGACGAAGAAGCTGACGCTGGAATACACTGATGGGTGCATCACCAAGGGTAGAATCAGAGAGGTGACGCCGCTGCACTTGGTGGTGGCGTTGGCCGACAACTGTGTTGGTCGTGTCGACGCGCTGGTGGCGTTTGACTCCTACGACGAAGTCACCGACGCCAAACACCCGTTGCTGGGTTTCAAGGAGGGGAAGAAGATCAAGGTCAAGGTGTTGGGGTTGCACAGACCGCGCAAGGGCCGCGGCATGCCCCAGGAACAGGCGCTGCAGCACCAGGTGTTCGACCTTGCCCTTGGCGACCCTAAGTTGAAACTGTTGAATGAATACAAGCCTGGCGACAAAGTGGTGGCGTTCGTCAACGGCATCCACTCCGGCTACGCCTGGGTGTCGTTGCTGCCCTCAGTTACCGGCAGAGTGTCGTTAATCGACATCAGCGACGAGCCCAACCACGAGGTCGCCCTCGGGGAAATGGTCCACTTGACGGTGGTTTCTACCGATGCCGAACACAACATCGTCAATTTGAGCGGTCGCCTGAACCCCATCACCCTGTTTGACGACGTCAAAGTGGGGCAAAAGCTCCCCTGTCGCGTGGTGAAGGCGATGGACGTGCTTGTGCTTGTCGAACTCGGTACCGGGGTCGTGGCGCTGGCCTACATTACCGACGCCGTCAACGACTACACCGAGACCCGCCCGCTCCCGGAATTGTTCCCCGAGTCGACTCTTCTCGAGTGTACCGTGATTGACCTCGACCACGACGCCAAGCGGATTGCGGTGTCGTTGCGCACCGACCCCAAGGACCCCACCATCAACTCGGTGGCCGACTTGGAGGTGGGCAAGAAGATCAACGGTTACATTAAGAGTATTGGCCCCCAGGGGGTCTACGTGGCTCTTGGCCGCCTGACCTACGCCCTCGTGCGGGTGTCCGACTTGTCGGACGAGTTCTTGGCCGACTGGAAAAAGCACTTCAAGCAGTTCCAGCCGGTGACGGGGAAGATCACCGAGTGCCGCCAGGCGGGGAGAGTGTTGATGACGTTGAAGGACCTGGAGGTCAACGGCAACAACACTCTGTTCAAGAAGTTCGACGATATTAACGTCGGCGACGTCTGCGAAGGTACCGTGCGCAAGGCCACCGACTTCGGGGTGTTTGTCAAGCTCGATGGCTACGTCAACTTGCTGGGTTTGTGCCACAAGCTGGAGATTTCTGATGCTATGGTCAACAACCCTCTGGAGTTGTTCTCTGAGGGCGACAGAGTCAAGGTGATTGTGTTGCGCAAGAACGTCGAAAAGCGCCAGCTCTCGCTCGGGATGAAGGCCCTGTACTTCACTGAAGACAATGACGATGAAGAAGATGACGAAGATGAAGTTATGGCTGAGAACGACGACGACGAAGAGGACGAAGATGTGGTCATGGAAGAAGCCGCCGGTGACGACGCCGCCGACTCGAGCTCTGACGACGACGACAACGCCGCCGAAGCCGAAGCCACCACCGGGCTCGCCACCCTGGGCTTCGACTGGACGGCGCTGATCTTGGACCAGATCAACGACGCCAGCGACCTGGACTCCGACGACGACGAGGACTTCATGAAGAAGAAGAAGCGGTCGAAGAAGCAGAAGGTCGAGGACAAGACCGGCGACCTCTCCACCCGCGCCCCCGAGTCGGTGGCCGACTTTGAGCGGTTGATCGTCGGTAACCCCAACTCGTCGGTGTTGTGGATGAACTACATGTCGTTCCAATTGCAATTGAGTGAGGTCGACCGCGCCCGTGAAATCGGCCACCGGGCGTTGAAGACGATCGCCTACAGAGAGGAACAGGAGAAGATGAACATCTGGATCGCGTTGCTTAACTTGGAAAACACCTTCGGCTCCGAGGAGACCTTGGAAGCTACCTTCAAGGACGCCTGCCAATACATGGACTCCTACGTCATGCACCAAAAGCTCGTGGGCATCTACACCATGCTGGACAAGCACTCCGCCGCCGACGACGTCTACCAGCAGATGGTGAAGAAGTTCGGCAAGGAACACTTGTCGGTGTGGACCCACTACGGCGAGTGGCTCATGGACCGCAATCGGGCCGACGACGCTCGCGAATTGTTGGCGAGAGCCTTGCTGGTGTTGCCCAAGCGTAACCACATCGAAGTGGTGCGCAAGTTTGCCCAAATGGAGTTTGCCCGTGGCCACCAAGAACAAGGGCGGACGTTGTTTGAAGGGTTGGTCCAGGACGCCCCCAAGCGGATCGACTTGTGGAACGTCTACATCGACCAGGAAATCAAGGACGGCGACAAGGAGAAGGCGGAAGACTTGTTCGACCGGGTGCTCGCCAAGAAGATCACCAAGAAGCAGGCGAAGTTCTTCTTCGGTAAATGGTTGGAGTACGAGGAGAAGATGGACGATACCAAGATGCAAGAACGCGTCAAGGCCAAGGCCAAGGCCTACGTCGAGGCCCAACAATAAGTGTATAATAGCTAGCATATTAGATTGAATCATTCGAATAGATATTGAAGAATTATGTGATGCTACCCACCAAAAGCATTATCTAATCATGTTGACTAATTCTTTCACCAAATTTGAGGTAGATCTGATACCATCATGGTGAGCTGCCCCCTCTTCGATCGCATATGGAGGATAGTTTCACAAAGTATTAATCCTATGTATGTCATCAAGAAAATCGTTCAGCCTAATAAACTCCTTATATTACACCCTAAATTCACGCCGTTGATGATCTTCAAGATTCGTCATGATGAGCGACCGGACATACGTACTTCAAATATAACATCTAGGGGTATTACCATGACATATCCATTAAGGGGCAATATTTTCGGAGTTTGTTGACGATACTTATCGTATAGTTTACTGTCAAGATGCAATATGCAGGGGTGGGGCAGTGGCTCAACGGTAGAGCTTTCGACTCCAGATCGAAGGGTTGCAGGTTCAAATCCTGTCTGCCTCAAGTCCTTTTTTACCGTTATGATTGTCGTCCAAATCATTTCAAGTCGTGTTCTAAGTGTCAGATCTGATTGCCTATTTCGTCAAAGATTACACAAAGTCGGGTGAGCCCATCAACGCCTTCAAGTTCAATCAAACATGCCCCATTAAACTGAGTAGTCGCCATCAATGGTGCCTACATTTTATCGTTGACTCTCTTGGGTGCTGCTACTCAATAGCTTACACCAAACTTAACTTGTTTTTCTACAATTGCCTTCAGTTACTCATGAGTGTATTATATTTACGTTAGGGTTACAACTTCAACAATCTGAGGTTGAACACGGTTTCGCCGATGGTTTGTTCTTCCTCGATGATGATGTCGCCCGAGGCCGACACCTTTTGCAACGGGCGCTTGGTCAGGGCACAGATGAAGTCGTTGTTTTCCAGCACCACGGTGTCGAAGTCGATGGTGTCCTTGGTGACGTCGTACTCGACCTGGATCTCGTCGGTGGCGACCAAGCCGGCCTTCTTTCTCAACTTCTGGATTCTGTTGATGATCTCACGGGCCAACCCTTCGCGCTCGAGTTCAGGGTACATGTTGCAGTCGAAGATGACCAACACGCGGTCTTCTTGCGACGATCTCGCTTCCTGGCCGTCGGCAGCCTTGTCGGCGGGCAAACCTCTTTGCACTTGCAAGTCTTCCGCCACCAAGTCGATGCCGTCGACACAGATCTTGCCGCAGGCAGCGAAGTCCTTGACGGCTTCCAGCGTCAACTTGGGCAACGCCGCCTTCACCTTCTTGGCGTCGCCCTTCAACTTCTTACCCAACACGGGCCAGTCGGCAACCGCAGTGTACTCGACGTTGTATTCGGATTCATCGGAAGTGATGATCAACTTGCGCACGTTGAGTTCCTCGAGGATGTAGTTCTCGAGGTCGGAGATGTCGTCGAGGTACAGCTGGTCGTCGTGCAACACCACCAACTGGCGGAGGGGCGTCTTGAGCGAGATCTGCTTCTTTTCACGGATGGTTCTCCCCAATTCGATGACCTTTTGCATTCTCGAGACGGCCAATTCGATTTTTTCGTCGAACAACTCTTCTCTGACCTTAGGGTACGACAAGAAGTGGACCGAGCCGGTGTCGTTGACCTTGGGGTTGATGCAGAAGGCGGCGAGGTCGGACTCGGGGAAGTACTCCTTGACCTTTTGGTAGATGCTGTCGGCGAGGAACGGCGTGAACGGAGCCATCAATCTCAGGAAAGTCATCAACGCCTCGGCGAGGGTGTTGAGGGCGTTCTCGGTGTCCTGCTTCAGCACCAGCCCCTTCAACCGCTTCCGGTTGAACCGGATGTACCAGTTGGTCATGAGGTCAATAAACCGCAACAACTTGGGCACCACGGTGTACAAGCGGTAGGCGGCCATTTCCTCGTGGACCTCCTTGACCAACGACTGCAACAGCGCCATCAACCAGCGGTCCATGACGTTGTCGGACTTGCGGGCGGCCAGGTAGGCGAAGGGGGCGCCCTGGTCCTTGGCGAAAATGTCGGCGGCGTCCTTGAGGAACCGCAGCGAGTTGTACCACGGCAACAACACCAGCAGCACCACCTCCTTGACGCCTTCCTCCTTGAACTTGAGCGTTTCCGCCCGCAACACCGGCGAGTTGATCAAGTACAATCTGAGGGCGTCGGCGCCGTACTTCTCGAGGACGATGGTGGGGTCGGGGTAGTTCTTAAGACGTTTGGACATCTTCTTGCCGTCGGCGGCGAGGACAATCCCCGAAACAATGACGTTTTCGTAGGGGCAGGTGTCGAACAAGTGGGTGCCCAACACCGTCAACGTGTAGAACCACCCTCTCGTCTGGTCCAACCCTTCCGAGATGAACTGGGCGGGGAACGCCTTCTCGAACTTGTCCTTGTTTTCGAAGGGGTAGTGGTTGGAGGCGTAAGGCATCGACCCCGATTCGAACCAGCAGTCGAACACTTCCTCGATTCTCTTCAATTGACCCTTGCCTTGCTTGGACGGGATGGTGATGGCGTCGATGGATTCACGGTGGATGTCGGTGATGTCCTGGTTGCCCGACAAGTCTCTCAATTCCTGGATAGAGCCAACACACACCATTTCCTCAAAGTCGTCCGACACCCAGAGGGGGATGGGGGTACCCCAGTAACGGTTACGCGAGATGTTCCAGTCACGGGCATTGGCGATCCAGTTGGAGAACCGCTTCTCCTTGATCGTCAGCGGCACCCAGTTCGTCTTGTCGACGTTGGCCAACATCTTGTCGATGACGGGCCCGATGCGGACGAACCACGCGGGGACAGTCCGGTACATCAACGGGGTGTCCAGCCGCCAGCAGAACGGGTACGAGTGCTTCATCTGCGTCGACACGAGCATCTTGCCGTCCTCGGTGAGCTTCTTAATCACGATCTTGTCGGCATCTTTGAAGTAAACCCCTTTCATCCCCAAATCTTCACCCACAGTCATCCGACCAGCGTCGTCGACCACTGAGGGGGGAGTGCGCTTTTCGTCAATCAAACCGTGGGCAGTGGCAGCGTTGAAATCCTCTTCACCATACGACGGGGCCTGGTGGACGATCCCGGTACCGGAGTCGCTGGTGACGTAGTCGGCCAGGATCACCTTGAACGCGTAGTCCTTGAATTGGTCGTAGAAGTAATTGAACGCCGGCTGGTATTTGAGCCCCACCAACTGGTCGCCCATGATCTTCTCCACCACCTTGTACTTGGCGGCAGCAGGCTTCTTGTATAAGGTCTTGAGCAACCCTTCCAAGAGGATGTAGTGCACCTGCTTGTCTTCGTCCCAGATCTTGACGTACTCGAACTTGGGGTTGACGGCGAGGGCGATGTTAGCCGGGAGAGTCCAGGGAGTAGTGGTCCACGCCACCAACACCGTTTTAGGGTCGTCGACAAGGGGGAACCCCACGGTGACGGCGGGGTCGTTGACGTCCTTATAGTTCTGCTGCGCCTCAAAATTAGACAACGGGGTGGTGCACGCCGTCGAGTAGGGCATCACCCGCAAACCCCGATACACCTGGTCCTTCTTCCACAACTCCTTAAACGCCCACCACACCAGCTCCATAAATTCCGGGTACAACGTCTTGTAGTCGTTGTCCATGTCGATCCACCGGCCCAAACGAGTGATCGTCTGTCTCCAGTCGTCGGCGTAGCGCATGACGATGGCGCGGCACTCGGCGTTGTACTTGTCGATGCCCATGGCGTAGACATCTTCCTTCGAGGTGACGCCGAGCTTTTTGTCGATCTCGTGCTCCACGGGCAACCCGTGGGTGTCCCAGCCGAACTTACGCTCGACGTGGAACCCGTTCATCAGGGCGTACCGGGGCAAAATGTCCTTGGTGGTCAGGGCGAGGATGTGGCCATAGTGGGGCAACCCCGTGGCGAAGGGGGGGCCGTCGTAGAACAGCCACGGCTCCATGTCTTGCGTGAGCTCGAGCTGGCGCTTGAACGCGTCCTGCTTGGCCCATTGGTCCAAGATCTTCTTCTCTTCGTCGGGGAAGCTGAAAAAGGTCGGTTCCGCCATGGTTGTTGAAGAGGCGCTTGGATGAGGTGATGCGAATCTTGGTTGAAAAATTTATTTCTCGTTGTGAGCCCGGGGTCCAATGACTCCAATAAAGACTAAATGACTCACCCACCAAAACGTCATCAATACAAGTTAGTGGAGCTATAGAGAGTTAGTTAGTAATAGGTCTTTTAAAATGTGACTGCTGACAAATTCGTTTTCCGTTAGTCAGTGATATTTGTCGAAGCGTGCTATCTGCAGGAAGATAACGGCGATTCCGGGCCTATACCGGCGTCCCCAAATCTACTACTATCTTTAATGTTGTATATTAGTCTCGTAATATCATTAATGCTGGGAATGCTTGAGTAAAGTATGGTAGGGCATGTCCCCGTCGTCGGGGTCGTTGGCCCAATGCAAAATGTCGGAGAACATCCGCTGGCTGATCACCTTGTCCATCTCCATCTCCGTCGCCCGCCACTGGTGCTCGAGCGCCTGGTCGACGTGGACGACCATCGCGAGGCCCTTATACTGCTGGCGCCGCTTGAACTCGATCACGGGCCGCCAGTGGCTGAGATTAGTGTGGGACAATTCGAGTACGGTAAGGTGCTGGAAAAACGACGGGTGGGGCCGCAGGAGGATGTGGGGCACCAGGTGGTCGGTGAGAAGGCGGCAGTTGTTAAGCAGAAGCCGCTGGAGGCTGTCGCTGCAGTGGGCGGCAAGCTCCCACACCAGGTGGTCGGTGATGTGGCACCCGGCGAGCCCCACCGTGGCCAAGTGGCGGCAGTGGCGGGCGACGGCACTGATGCTGGTGTCGGTGATGAGGTGGCCCTTATGTTTGCGCCCTAAATTAAGTGTCCGGAGCTGGCGACAGCCCGTGGCGACATGGTACACCCCCAGATCACTGATGAGCTCACACGCGCGTAAGTCGAGGGTGCGGAGGTTGGGGCACCGGCGCCCCACCATCTGGAGGAAGTGGTCGTCGACGGTCTTGGAGCCGGTGATGACGATCTTCTCGAGCGACGCCACGAGCATTTCCACCGGCGGC